CAGCTATGGAAAGTTAAATTTTTTTATCAGCATTTATATTAAAAACCCTATCTGTCTATCAACCATCCATCCATCCATCCATCCATCCATCCATCCATCCATCCCCCTATCTCCATCTCCTTATTCTTTATTAAGACATAGACTCAAAAAGGTTCATAGACTCATAGGTTCAAAAAGCATTTCAAGCAAGGAGAAAGGAATCAAAGATCAACAAAACAATAATCCCACTTATTCTAAAGGAAACTCTTCCAGAGTAAATAAACAAATTATTCAAAATTTGTTTTCCTTATTCTCTCCATGTCTTGTCATGTTGAACTTGGACAGATTTTCAAGGGAGTCTCTTTGTCCCTCACTAAGAGAAATGGGAACACTTTCTCAGAAAATGGATAATTAAAAGTAAATATATGATGCATTGAGTCAGCATTGTAAAAGGAGAGGATCTCAAAATCATGCTTCAGGATAATCAAGATACGTTGTGGTGATTTCCACAGTGTGAGTTGGATGGGAGGGGTTGTAGAGGCCTTGTATTCCCCTGCTGCTAGCTGCAGTACCCAGAACCCTTGAGTAACGGTGATGTCTTCTGGATATTTTCTTTCTACTGATTCCCGGGCAACCCCAATGGCCCATTCTTTGGCCTTGCCCACTTCTACCACCCATTCTAAAGTCCCAGAGTCAATGCCTTCTGCTCCCAGGACACCTGGTAAAAAACGGAAGCGCTCAGGGTTGTCAGAAAGGACCTGGGTTTGTTCACCCATGTGTACACTCTTCCGATCTTCTGAAAGGATGAGAGCAGGATAAGCGGTCTTGGGATCCAAGATCACTTTCACTAAAGTTATAGATAAAGAAGAGATTAGCATATCTTCCAAATTAACCCCACTGAGAAAACAACACTATATAATTAACCAGAAACAGAGCGCAGGGTCAACTCAAGTTAAAGACAAATGAAATCTCTGAATACTTCTGGAAGTACTAACCTATGAACAATTTAGAATGTACATTCTTGGTAAGCTCTCAATTTTCTTGGTTCTTGACATGGGCCAGGAAAGCTTATTTTTTTTCTAAGGCACTGTTGTTACTTGAACTTAATTATAATCATGTCCCCGTAAAACTGATTTTCATCCTTGCTCCCACATCAGAGTCATTCATGGGATTGCAGACTTCCATCAAAATGAGAAAAGCAGGGTTGCGCTGTAACTTCTGCCACATTCACACATGTGCATGACATCACAATGCGTGTATAAAAGGGGATGGAGCTTGTGTCATAAGAGTATGGCACTGCTTTCATTATTTGCTCCCCTTGCCCCCCCCCCACTGTTTCTATATTTCATCCCTAATCCATGAGATAGCCTAAAGTTATCACTAGCTAGAGCAACAAATGAGTACTGTTTCCCTCTTATTCCAGTAGCATCAAGGTACTGTTACAATTTCCCACCTATTACCTTGGAGGCAAAGACAGGTGGTCAGTAGTTGGTGCAATCAGAGGTGACCTAGGGGAGTATTGGGAGGCCCAGGCATGCCACCGTCCTATGGTCACTAGCTAGACTTCACCTTAACCATTTCTCTTTCCCAAAGTTAGCCTCCTTCCTTCCTTCCTTCCTTCCTTCCTTCCTTCCTTCCTTCCTTCCTTCCTTCCGCCTGCATCAGACTACCGCAGCTGTAGTATTGAGATGAAGGCAATGCCATGAGGACATGTAGTTATAACACTGGAATGTTTGTACTACTGTTAGGGGGATGTGAGTGTGAACCCTCAGACAAGATGCAATAAGGGTACTATAAGCATTTACAATTCTAGACAATCACAGAGATAACCTTGGAGAAAGAATGTAGCAGTTAGCAAAACATGGATTAAACCCCAGAAAGGAAGAACATATTAGAAAGAAACTTAAGTGACTCCATCTTGACTTTCTACAGTATAAGAGGGAAGAAAGAGAAAACCCTGTCCGCTTTTAAGGTTTGGTAACTATAGTCTATCTCAATAAAGTGGTAAGGAAGTAAATAGTTTATTGAATAAGTCTCCAGATAATTTCAATTCAATAAAGAAGAGTTCCAGTATTTCTTGTGTAGTCTGTTCCCTGACCTGGCCTATCAGGAAAGGCTAACAACAATTTTAATGCCAGCATTATTCAGGGTGCCCTAAGAATAGGTCGAGAACATTTTAACTCAGAGGTTGAGACAAGCATTCAGATCTACTTCTGTCCTTCTTGCTGCACCAGTCCCAAGGCTTTTGTTTGGGGACACATTAATTTATCCACCAGCAACTAACCTTTCTTTTGGATCCCAGAAAACTTGTCACATAGATTTGACACTATCTTCTTTTCTCGTTCTTTTTTTTCTTTCTTGGTCATGGTGGATGGTTTGGGAAGGAAATCTGTCAGAAATAAGTGGTCATTCTTGTTTTTAAAAACAAATGAAAGAAAGCTGAACCTACTTGGTTTCCTCTCATTCCTTCTGCAACCATTTGATAGGCAAGAAAAGTTAATGCATTAACACTGAGTTAATGCACTGAGCACCAACTGATAAAATTAGCAACAATATGGGGTAGAACAGCTTTTCCCAACCAGATGTCTCCAAATGCACTAGATTTCAATTGCCATCCTCTGGGTAACACATCTGGAGGGCAGCAAATTGGGTGGTATTGTTGGCTAGAGTTATCCAGAAAGTTAGCAGAACCTCCTGCAACTATGGGGCTCCAATAAGGAGTAGTGAAGAGGAAGGCACATCTCTCTTCAAAGAGAGACAACAGGCTGGACAACCACTGTTCTTTCCTAAACCTCAACAGCTGTTTTCAGTAGCAATGGTATCACCATCACTACCCCTTCTGTGAGCAGAAGTGTAAATAGGAGCCCCACTTAGAGTATTTATATCCCACCTGTTCTCCGGGAGCTCAAGGAAGCATATATGGGGAAGTCTTCCTCATTTTATCCTCACCCTCTGAAGTATGTTGAGCTTACAAGGAGTGACTGGCTCAAAATCACCCATTGAGGCCCATGGCTAAAAGGATTGGCCAGGATTCCAATCCAACACTTTAGCCGCTATCCTACAATCACCACATTTTTAAGTTTTCACCATTACAGTACTCCATTTTTTCCTACAGGATTTTTTTTTTCCAGTTTCACTCTCCCACATTTTTTCCTTGGGTCTTGTTTTCAAATCTATGCCTCTGAAAATCTGTTTGTAGCGCTGCAAATTAATAAAAATTTTCTCCTTATCAGGAATGGAAAAATTGAGAAAAGGAAGAGGTGGCTGTTGGAGAAAGCAGGATCAATTTTAGCTAACCACCAGTTCTCAGTGAGCAAAAGGACAGCATGAATTATAATCCAGTGAATTAAAAGTAAAAGCAGTTAAGATTTTTTTTTTTAGTATGTTCAGTTTGTTCTCTATGAACATGTGTGCCTTTCAGACATTAAAACAATATCTATGTTTGAATAGTCCATGGAGGGCTTGAGTATCAAGCATTGAGACAACTTGACCATCAGGATTTTTCATCAAAATCCCAAATCCCAAAATAAAAATGTAAAGAGATTTCTTGTTTGTCCGAGGAGGTAGATCTCTCAGCTAAAACAGATGGGATAACTATTGTATCACAAAACAATTTCTTGGTGCTTTTGGTTTGCTAGGATAGTGAATCAGCCAAAACAAGAGGTGGGATGTGAGCTGCAGAGAACAGGATGGATCTCACCATAGAACCTATACTGCATTCCCTACCTTCACGTCTGTTTTCCTTCTCCTCCTGCTGACTGACACGCTTCCTTGCTCTATACCTCCAACTGACAACATGTAAAGGCAGTTGTCACACTCTGAATTTGAGAGAAATGTCATTAGAAAGCCAATGTGTAAAGAGGAACAGAGGCCAACAAAGGAATTAAGCTTAAGCTTAATTGCCTTGGGTTACCAGTACCAGCAGGGCTTTTTCTACATACATTCTGGCATCTCCTTTCGGATTCTTGCAGCCAGATCCTTCTTATTTATTTGGTCCAGAATGTTGACGGTCATCTTCAGGGCCTTGGCATCCTCATACGCCTCAGTCATGTATCAGGCTATTTCAACGTAGGCAGCTTTCTCAGTCTTGGAGCGATGGATGGGCTTGTAGCCCTGCTCCAGCGGGTAGTCCTCGAGGTGCATCTTAAATTTCTTGAATTCATCTTCACTCAGTTCTTCAAAATAGTCAACTAGCTTGCAGCGAGGAGTGTGGGACATTGTGGCCCTCAGTCAGGTGTATCTATAAAAGGTACATATAAAAGGTAAATAATGCAGTAGAAAAGCTCCGTACAAATCAGATTAAAGGGACAAAAGCCGATGTGGTCAAAATTTAAGGAAGGCCTATAGAAAAGAAAACAGGCAAGTATAGCAATCCCTCTGAA